ATCTATCTTTCTATCTATCTATCTATCTATCTATCTATTTATCTATCTATCTCTATCATGTATTGTCTGTCTGTCTTATCTATCTATCTATCTAAATTATGTATCTATCTATCTTTCTATCTATCTATCTATCTATCTATCTATTTATCTATCTATCTCTATCATGTATTGTCTGTCTGTCTTATCTATCTATCTATCTAAATTATGTATGTATCTATCTATCTATCTATCTATCTAAATTATCTATCTATCTAAATTATCTATCTATCTATCTATCTATCTATCTATTTATCTATCTATCTCTATCATGTATTGTCTGTCTGTCTTATCTATCTATCTATCTAAATTATGTATGTATCTATCTATCTATCTATCTATCTAAATTATCTATCTATCTAAATTATCTATCTATCATCTATCTATCTATCTAGCTATCTATCTATCTATCTATCTCTATCATGTATTGTCTGTCTGTCTTATCTATCTATCTAAATTATGTATCTATCTATCTATCTATCTATCTATCTCTATCATGTATTGTCTGTCTGTCTTATCTATCTATCTAAATTATCTATCTATCTAAATTATCTATCTATCATCTATCTATCTATCTATCTATCTATTTATCTATCTATCTCTATCATGTATTGTCTGTCTGTCTTATCTATCTATCTAAATTATGTATCTATCTTTCTATCTATCTATCTATCTATCTATCTATCTCTATCATGTATTGTCTGTCTGTCTTATCTATCTATCTAAATTATGTATCTATCTATCTATCTATCTATCTATCTCTATCATGTATTGTCTGTCTGTCTTATCTATCTATCTAAATTATCTATCTATCTATCTATCTATCTATCTATCTATCTATCTATCTATCTATGCATTATTGAGATGAATCATATCAAAGCTATAAGCAAAGCTGGCTGGGGGATTCTGGGAGTTGAAGTCCACCCGTCCTCAAGTTGTTAAGCTTATTAGAAACATTGACCGAGGAATGATAACTTTCATGCCTGCGGGTGAGGATGACAAAATCCTGACATCCCCTCTCAGTTCCCCCCCCCTCTCCGTTTGAGCCCAAATTCGGACGGGACCCGAGTTCAGGAGCCGCCCCGCTCACCGTCAGCATGTGGTTCAGTTCGTGGCTGAGCATTTTCCTGAAATCGGATTTGCTGATCCCGCGCCGTCTGCGGCAACAGCATCCTTTGCCGGAATATCTGTCGTAATTCTTCACCAGGGTCTGGATCGCCCACTCGAGCTCCGAGTCTCCTGTCACCGCCATGCTGCCCTTGGTTCCTGGGGAGGGGGTGGGGGGGGAAACAGAGAAAGAAAGAAAAAGCTGTGATCGCCTGTTGGTGCCCTTTCCTGAGTAAAGTTAAGAGCTCACTCGACGCACATGGAGCATCTCCCTCCGGTGATTCAGGGAGAGGCTGTGAAATTCAGGTTACAGCCTTCAGCAAAGAGGAAATCCAAAAAGAAAGAGAAAAGCCGCAGAATACCGAGAGGAAAAATAGAACGTAAAATATAAATGCACGAACGAATGAAAAAAAGGAAAGCGGGAAGAACGAAAGAGGCAGGAGAAAGAGAGAAAGGAGAAAAGGAGACTGGGAACGAAAACGCCTTCTGAGAATATACGACGGGCAGTCTCGTCATTTGATAAATCAGTTTATTTACAAATAAAACGAAATTACGTTTACACGCCCGCCTAGGCACCTCCAGTTTCAAATTCGGAAACGTGATCCTTTTGAAGCAGCTCCCCCCCCCAGATCGATGCATCGCATTTCAGCTAGCGGCTCCCTCTGGTTTCCTTCCTGAGGACTAGCAGCTTGGATTAAACTCGTGTTGTGGCCCGCCGGCAGAGTCGGACAGTGAGGAGGGTTGGGGAGGAAGATGGGCCAGTCCTGGTGTCCGGGGAAAGCTCGGACGAGGGCTCTGCGTCGGAGGCAGAGAGGAGGCCAGGGCCGTATGCCAGTTATCAGCTGCCTTCGGAGCTAGACAGCAGCGAGGCAGAGGGACAGGGGGAGCCTGTTCCCAGTGTGCGCATGCGCGGAGTTGCTAGACGAAGGAAAGAGCTCAGAAATCAGGGTCGACTTGGGAGTAAAGCCACAGGTGGACGGTGAATGGCCCCTCCCAGAGGACATAAAAGAAGAGCAAAAGGGGAGTGGAGTTTGCAGGAAGCAATTCCTTCGTCCGGTCGTTAGATTCGTTTCAGGAGTGTGAAGATCTGTCTGTGAATCTCCGAGACTCTGTGCCCAAGTCTTTCCTTGCCCAGCACTGGAAAACATTGGCAGCTTTCCAAGCTAGATAAGGTCTGTGGTGATAAATACTCCTTTGAAAGACTGTTGGTTGAAGGTGAAGGAGGGGAATTCACATTTGTTTAATAAAAGGAGTTTTGTCGGGACCAGGAATCTGCGTCCTGCATTTTGGAGAAGCCTCAGTCAGAATAATCCAACCCGCGTGGGAAATCCCCCCCCCCTGCTGCGGCTAGAAAGGTCACCCCAAGCTCACTTAACCAACGTCTCGCTTAGCAGCGGAAACGCTGGGCCCAATAATAGTCGTAACCCGAGAACCGTACGGTGTAAATTGCAAATGGAAAAAAAACACCTCTTCACGCACCAGATGTGCCTTGGGGAGCAATATCTGTTTGTTTTTCCCCCCGCGATGCCAGCCAAGCAATTTTTTGCAAATTTTGCAAAAAAAGAACTCGGACGACTCCCATCTCGCGGTGGAGGAAGATATTCCACGGGGAATATCTGGGGGGGAAAAGCATTTGTGGTCAAACCAAGTCTCGACTGAGTTTAAAAAAGGACTTTAAACAACCACAGTTTCTTGCCTGTTTTGATGTGGGTTTGATTCGGGCTTGGGATTGAGCCGGCAATTCTGGTCTATCCGGAGTCTTTGGGGCTATTTATCATTCAGGAGAGGTGTGGGTTTTCCGCGGGGTTGCGTTGTCGTTGTTTTTTGCAAAAACGTAACAACGCTTGATGTTGGCTTCGCTTGGTTATTTTTTTTGCCAGCAACAGTGGATTTATTTTTTTAATTGAAAATGAATGCGACAGATAAAGAAGCCTAGCTTTGAATGCTTGGTTATTCAGGTAACATGAATATGATTGTGCTAGAATGAATGGAACGGAATGGAATGGAATATAACAGAATAGAGAAAGAATACAATAGAATAGAATTTAGAATAGAAAATAGAATAGAATAGAAATGAAATTAGAAGAGAAAAGAAAACAGAATAGAATAGAGAATAGAATAGAATAGAGGAATAGAATAGAGAATAGAATAGAAATTAGAATAGAGAATAGAATAGAAAGAAGAGAAATTAGAAGAGAAGAGAAATTAGAAGAGAAGAGAAAACAGAATAGAATAGAGAATAGAAGAGAAATTAGAAGAGAATAGAAAAGAAAACAATAGAATAGAATAGAGAATACAATAGAATAGAATAGAAATTAGAATAGAGAATAAAATAGAAAATAGAAGAGGAGAAATTAGAAGAGAAGAGAAAAGAAAACAGAATATAATAGAATATAATAGAATAGAGAATAGAATAGAATAGAAATTAGAATAGAGAATAAAATAGAAAATAGAAGAGGAGAAATTAGAAGAGAAGAGAAAAGAAAACAGAATATAATAGAATATAATAGAATAGAGAATAGAATAGAATAGAAATTAGAATAGAGAATAAAATAGAAATTAGAAAATAAAATAAAATAGAATAGAGAAGAGAATAGAAATTAGAATAGAGAATAAAATAGAAATTAGAATAGAGAATAAAATAGAAATTAGAATAGAGNTTCATGAGTTAAACTAAGGAAGAAATTCAGTTTCTTTTTAGTAACTGCCAATTACTATCTATCTATCTATCTATCTATCTATCTATCTATCTATCTATCTATCTATCTATCATCTATCATCTATCTCTCTATCTCTCTATCTCTCTATCATCTATCTGATAGTACCTCCGGAGGTTTGGGTTTTTTACAGTTTCAATTCATGGTATTACTATCTAAAACTCTGTAAAGCTGCTATCTCCTTGATGAATGGCAGGGAAGCTGATTGGCTCCAAGCCTTTATTTAATGTATTTATTTGGTACATTGAATAGCCACTCATCTCACATATGTGACTCTGAACAACATACAAAGTTAAAAACAAGAAAACAAAATAATCAAAATCATGAGAACAAAAATCATTTAAAAAATAATGAAAACCATTATTATTATTATTTAAAAAAATAATCTGAGGGAGAGGATACACTATTTCCTTTGCAATACAGTCACCATTGACTCTGTGATAGCTACTGATATTCTTGTAATCAAAGTTGCTATATTTATTTGAGAATAACATTGTCAAACCATGAATGATTTTATCAAAAATGAAATCAGAAACAATGGACAAATTCAAAGGAAGAAAGAAAAATGGTATCATCTGTACAGACTGAGAAATGCATAACGTTAGCAATGTAATTAGTGTGGAAGTTGACATTCAAATAATGCTTCAGTGTGTGATCAAATATAAATGTCCAGTGTTGCAAGATTGTGGGCAGCTGTCGTGGAGTGGGAGACATCCTTACATCTAGTGACCAATAATAACAGTAGGCAGTTTTGATTTTTCCATGCTTCTGTTTCTCATATTTTGTCCTTTTAACTTATTCACATTTCAGCTGTGCTGGAGTTTGCTTTCATGAGTATAAATGAAAGGGCTAAACACATATCAGATATAGGAACTGGTCTCATTTGCATTGTTCTGACTGTCTGTGAAATTGATATTACACTCCAGTGAACGGTGATAATGAAAAAAACAAAGATAGAATAAATTATACAATATTCAATCTGAGTGGGAGGCAATCCATGCTATATGAATGATTGGATGGAATGAGATGAAAGAATACAAGCAAGTGACCTGGCCATTTGGAGATGGAAGAATAAATGACAAAGGCGATTGTATGATAAATATTTGTTTTGTTTTGAATACCAGGTTGAATAAATTAAAATAAATCAACTAAAGGTAAAATCTTGAATGTGATATAATGGCTGGAGTGCTGGACTAAGAATAGAGAGACCTAGTTTTAAGTGTCCATTCAGTAATAAAGTTCTCTAGAGAGCTTTTAGCACAGAGCAGCAACTATTTCTGACCCATGCTTACCTTATGGGATTGCAAAACTAGATGCAAAACTGGAATGAGATCTCTATATGAAAGCAAAGAGAAAAGGCAAAGCATAAGTACCATAAATAGATTAACCGGCATCAATAGATAAGATGCATCAACAGATAAAAGATAAAAAAATAGGCTGCATCAACAGAGGGATAGTGTCAAAATCATAGGAAGTATTAATACCGCTTTATACTGCACAGGTAAGACACTTGGAAAACTGTATACCTGTGATGGCGAACCTAAGTCACTTCTGGTTTGTCCATAGGGCCATTTTTTGTCCTCTGGAGCCTTCAGGGAAGCCTCCGGAAGGCCCCTGAAGATTCCAGGGGGCTAAAACCGGCCCTATGAGCAAACCGGAAGTCCGTTCCTGAACTTCTGGTTTCCCTGTAGGTCCATTTTTTTGCACTCCGGAGGCTTTGGGGCAGCTCCTGAAGCCTCCGGAGGGCCTCCGTGGGAGCAGGGGAGGCTGTTTGCAAAAAAAGCATGCAAAAAATGGGGGGAACGCTGGTCATGCGCCCATGCATGCTGGGGTCACGCATTGCATTCTGGGTGTGGCAAGCCACGCACAACCCCCCCCTGAGCTCCCCCCGCTTTTAGTACGCAAGCCAAAAAAGGTTCGCAATCACTGCTGTATACAGTTTAAGTCATGACAATGCAAAAAAGATATTGAGACTAGAAAAACTGTAGGGAAGAGCAACAAAGGTGACTAGGGAAGCTAAACCA